TGTTTCTCCTACCGCACAGGAGGAGCTCACTGTTACTCATACCGCACAGCAGGAGCTCGCCGTTACTCCCACCGCACCTGAGGAGCTTGCTGTTACTCCCACCGCACAGGAGGAGCCCGCCGTTACTCCTACCGCACAGCAGGAGCTCGCCGTTACTCCCACCGCACACGAGGAGCCCACTGTCACTCCTACCGCACAGGAGGAGGGGGTCACCATTACAAATGCTATGGTTGAGGAGACTGTCGCGGGGCCGAGTGGTCGGATCGCACGGAAGACCAGAGCTAAGGTTGGGATACAAAAAGGGAAGAGGGGGCCGGTGAAGGCAGTTACCAAGGCCAAATCCCCGCTGTTGAAGTCTAGGGCTAGTGTGGGAGTAATGAAGAAGCCCACTCCGAGAGGTTTAAAGGCTGCGGCGAAGGCGAGGGCTAAGGCTAAGGCTGAAGTGCAGAGGGAAGTGGAGATGGGGGGAGAGATGGAGGTGGAAAAGGAGGTGGAGATGGATGTAGAAAAAGAGGTGGATATGGAAATGGAGAACCAGGGTATTACCAACACCATTACCGTCGGCAAAGTCACCAGAGCTTCCCGCACCAGGGTTCCCTCCAGGGCACCCCAAACTCCCCAGCGCCGGAGTAGGCGCGTTTTGGAGAAGATCCGGAAGCCTGCGCAAGATGAGCCCGCTGTTGTTTCCACCGCGCCGGAGGAGGGGGAGGTTGTTGGGGACTCTCCGGTTGGAGAGACTGTCGCGGGGCCGAGTGGTCGGGTTGCGGCGAATACCGTGGCTAAAGTTGGGACGGAGAAGGGAAAGGGTGGGCTTGCAAAGGTTATCGCTAAGGCCAAGCCTCCTGTTCTGGGGCCCAAGGCAGGTGCGGGAGTCTCAAAGAGGGGTAGGAGAGATGGCGCCCGTGGTGGCCGCGGCGGCAAATCCGGAGGTGGTAGAAAGGCATCGGCTTAGAGAGAAGGCACAACATGATGGAGCTGGGATAGCTGTAGTCTAAAAGTACCTGCTCGAATAAATTTCTCTTTTCTCCTTTCCCCTTTAGAAAGAGTGACCTGGCAAATTACCTGTTAGTATCCTACTCTATGGACCCGCTAGGTTCTAGGCAACTTTAGAAATTATACTCAACACATCAGCCTATACCGAATATCAAAGCAGATCCAGAGGCAGGAACAACAGGAGCGCAGTATCATCCATGCAAAATCTCCCCCTCGGGTCTCGGGGATCGGTGGGTACTTTGATAGGGATTTTTTTTATTGCACTTTCCTTTCTCGCTTGCGGTCCACCCGCCTCGTCCCGAAACGGCTTCTATTGCCACTGTCTAAAGCATTGCTTCAAGGTGACGGAAATTTACTTATCTCAGAGCGTCTGAGTTCATCCGTATGTGTGTAGGTGGCCCTCTGTGTATATAAGTATAGCTGCTCTTAGGACATGTTGAGTATCTCAAGGAATCACGACATAACACTCCTTTTCATACTCCCTATCCATAACTCCACGCCTCCACGTATATTCCTAGCCCCTAGCTTTCCTTCAGCCTCACGCCTCTACAGACCTCCGACAGCAGCCGTGCACCAGATGTCGAGTGATTATTCATGTCTAGGATATTAAAGACATTATTTACATAGAAGTCTTGTTAGAGACTTAATCTATCATAATATCATAATATTGTATAATTTAAAACAGGTCTGAAGGCTAAATCTGGGCCCTAGAGCCTCATATCCCAAGTGCGATACTTGTGTCTCGCAAAACCATAGAGCACTTCGGTGCAGCATCCTCTCGTCACCGGTCTAGATCTTTCCTTCGGCACCGCTCTACCGCTCTTCCGCTGCCATAGCACAAACTATCATACTGCATGGAGATAATAATCAAATATTCAGCCGCAACCTCAGCAGTACTCTTAGGCACATCACTTAAATCGCGACTACTCACCAGTTGTAGTGTGAACTTAAGCCTACATCAAGTGCTGGCCCTCTCCGCAGTTCCTGCTTTCAAATGTAAGCGCTTCGAGTTCAAGGAAAGAAAATGCAGCTGCAGCGGATGGTTATGGTGCTCGAAGGAGCTGGAGGGTTTTGATAGGTATGCTTTTTCCCTATCACATTTTATTTAGTTCCGCCTTTTAGTTTTTTGAGGGGACTTTGGTAGGTTCCCATTGACATGATATATATAATCGGATTTGTCAGACCGCCAATTGAGTGGTTAGAGATTTGAGCCCGGCATAGCAAGACCTGTGGATTTATGGGGGGCTGACAACTATCCATTATAGCCCGAAGTGTTTTCTCAATTGCTAGATTTGGCTAGCGTATTTTTCCATTCGGATAAAGCAGGGAGCCTCATCTGGGCAGCTCAGGCTATTCCCGTCTCTTTTCCGGGAGTATTCGAGCTAAAAATTGGTTTACATATTGCCCGCCCTCCCTAGCTGATCCGCCAACCCAACCTGGACATCCTTTGATTTTCATTTGAAAGAGGAGACGATGCTTCTTGTTTCTTAGACTGCTACCTTTCCGCGGTGTATGGGAAAGCAAGGGCCGATTCAACTGTGCGAGGCCAATTCCCTCCAACACTAGCAGCTCTGTGAAAGCATTAATTTTCCTTTGTTCACTTGGATTCTGTTCCCTTCCACTTTTGCTGACTTTTCGCCGGCCGTTAGTCGAAAAATGGGGTATCTAAAGTCACCGTATATTGGTATACCGGAGATGGGTCGCATCGCCATAGAATCTCAACCGGTGGATGTTTTCCGGGAGAAGACTCAGAGGAGAGAGGATGGCCTGAGAATGAGGGGAGCAATCAGAGCGGGTGGTTCTTCACGTCACGGGAGGAAATGCTGCGATACACTCTTGCTTGAAATGTATATACTATTTCAAGGTAGGAGTTCCGTGACGCTATAGATGTCTCGACGAACAAATTGCTTCTTTGTTCAACAGGTTATGATACAACCAAATATGGTTGAAGGCACAATGCTATGATATGATATGGCGGGGTTATTGAGAAAGCCCAGGTCCCGATAGGGCTTAGGGGCTGTCTAGGCGGATGTTTCCATTTCAACTTGTATGATACTTACCGAACCAGATGTCTCATGCCAGCCAATGGAGGGGCTGACGACGCCAGACCTCAAGTTCAACGGCACATCTGATTCAGAGATCCAGAGAACGAGTGGCAATGGAGATATTCATTCATTGCACCGTTAGGAGCCGCAAGGCTAGTGGACAAATCCAGGTTTCAAGCGCTTGATCTATTCAAATTTCTATTGCGTTCGTCCTCCATCCCAAATTCCCAGTTCAAAACACTTATCTTCCCCCTCCTCCATCCCTTCAATCTTTACACACATCCACGGTTTCCCACCACGTATCTACCTCCTCAGTCGGAAGGGGAAGGCAAAAAATACTCTCAATTCATCTCCTCAATTCTTCGGTCAACACCTATTATGAAAGCCGGTACGCCCAGCACCGCCGCCCGCGGGGGCAACTCCAGGATACTTACCGCAAGCTCGAAGGCAATAACCGCCAATCCGGGCCAAGCCACCGAAACTAACACCAAAAATATGGGGGCCCTCCAGGCCGCCCTCTTCAGCATGCAAACGGTCGATGTGGATGCTCAAAGGGCTGCCACCTCTAGGCTCGATGAGGTAATCAAAAAGGAGAAAAATCAGGAGAAGAAGAGGGGAAAGAAGGAGGAGGCGAGGGGGATTATAAAGTCCGAGGAAGATGAGAAGGATGACTATATTACTACCACTCCCACTGGCAGATGGGTTCTGGCTGGGGTGCTCGTTCCAACTCCACCGGCAGCTTACCAAATATCTCTGGGTCACCCGACAAACTCCACATCCTCGCCTACCATACATGGAAAGACCGCTGCCATGGATGAAGTCACTGAGCCCCCTCCGGTCCGGACCCCTCGTGATGCACCCCAGGCCCCCAAACGCCGGAGCACCCGCATCATCCAGTTGGCTCAGAAGCCTGAGCAGGATGACCTCGTTGGTGTTTCTACCGTGCAGCAGGGGGGGGCTTCTACGGACGCTCTGGTTAAGAAGGCTGTTGAGCGGTTGAGTAGCCGGGTTGCGCGGAAGGCCATGGCTAAAGCTGGTATGCAAAAAGGGAAGGGGGGACCCGTAAAGGCTGTTACCAAGGCCAATTACCCGGTTCTGAGGCCAATGGCTGGCGCGGGGGTTAGGAAGAAGGCCCTTCCTGGAGTTCTAAGGGGCACGACTGCGGGGAAGGCGGCTAAGGCTAAGGCTGAGGTGGAGAAGGAGGCGGAAGTAGTAAAAGCCCTCCGCACCAGGGCTCCTTGTGGGGCACCCCCGGTTCCCCGACGCCGGAGCGTGCGCATTATCCGGTCCACTCTGAAGTCCATGAAAGATAGGAAGGATATCGTTCCCACCGTGCAGGGGGAGGGGGAGACCACCACGGGCGCTGCGTTTAAGAATACAATTGAGAGGTTAGGTGGTCGGATCGCCCCGAGGACTAAGGCTAAAGTTGGGATGGGCAAGGGGAAGGAGCAGCCGGCACAGGTCGCTACCGAGGGCAAACCCCAGGTTCTGAAGACTGCAGCTGGGCCTGTGGTTATGAGGAAGACTGCTGTGGGGGGCTTCAAGCATAGGATTGCGGCGAAGGATAGGGATGAGATGGAGAAGGAGGGGGAGAACCAGAGTATGACCACCGCCACTACTGCCGACAAAGGCGCCAAGACCTCCCACGCCACGGTCCCTCGCGAGGCACTCCAAGCTCCCCGACGCCGGAGTCTGCGCCTTGTGGAGTGGCAGGAGTCTGCTCTGGATAAGGTCCCTGTTGCTGCTCCTCTCCAGGAGCAGGAAAAGCCAGCTGTGGCCGCCCCGGTTAAGAAGACTGCTGGATGGTTGAGTGGGCAGATTGAGCTAAAGACCAAGGATAAAGTTGGGATGGAGAAGAGGAAGGAAGGGCACACAAAAGCTGTCGTCAGGGCCAAGTCTCGGGTTACGGGGCACGGTGCAGGTGCAGGTGTTTCAAAGGGGGGCAGAGGCGGATCACCTGGCGGCCGCAGCGGCAAAGCGAGAGGGAGCAAGAAGGCATAAAGAGAAACACGGAATTATGGAACTCGAATAACTGAAATTATATGGTTTAAAAGTGCTTGCTTAAACTTTATTTTTTTTATGATGCTTTTTAAAAGAGTGAGTTGGGCAACCTTCCCCAGTACGAGCTCGGCGCAAAACTTCATGAGTAGAACGGAAGTGTCAAACACAAACCACATAAATTCTCAACAACAATAATAAAAGAAACCTGATACTAAATTTATATATAAGAGTAAGAACCCATTTTGAACCCAACATTCCCTGAGTCTGTCTGAAACACCACCAACAAGTCTAGTCCAACCTGGAGGTTCTAGCCTATCCTATTCTTGCTGCACAGCCCAACATATCACTCACTGTATGAGTCTTAGGAAAGGGGTCTCTCACTTTAATACATTGTTTGAGAATTTACTATACATTTTCAATGGGATTGAAGTCTGGCAAGGAGATTGGTTGCTAGTACAGTAGAATACCTAACTCTTTCTTTAACCAAATAAGAATCAATTTTGTTCTATACTATAGAGCTGAATCTTTATACTTTGACTACCAGTAGACTTGAATCCTGGTTGATTGCAAATTGCTAGTACAACAATTAGCTTCAGTACCTAGATAAGGTGGTCTATAGATATGATAGCATTACAATGTCCTATACACTAGAGAAATATAATTTCCAACTTTTAAATGTATCTAATTATACTCTGGACTGTGACTGATACTTGACTGTTATTGCAGGTCTATTGGATACAATTATCATAGTTGTAATACAGCCTGAGTCATATGGGGGGGATATTGGTCATGCTTTAGATATAGTAGAAGCAGCCTACTAGTTGATCTACAAGTAGCAGGAGTAGCTGCACTAAAAGAGTCTTTCAAAGAATACAATTGGAACTTAAAGAGATAGCCATTCAATTAAGTATACTAGTATTAGAAATACTATTACTGGCAGTTGAGGGTTACTATTTCAATTGTAGAAGTCAGTAGTTTCTAAGCATATAAATTGGTCTATGTCCTGTATAAACAAAATACAAAATAATTATGTATCAGACAATACTCAAAATGACAAGTAAAATAAAATATGAGAAATCATTTCCATAACTGAGTACCTGTACTGACTACACTGGTGGGATTCAGAAGCAAGGCATACCACCTGAGCAGATATCTAATAAGAGGTCTTAAAATAGGTAACCTCATCCATATAGATATGTTTTCACTACCATTCTATCATTTTATCAGAATGTTCAAAGGAGTAGGTCAATCTTACCTTTTGTATATTGTAATTAAATCAGATTTATAAATAGTTTCTTATAAGATTTATATCATATGTAACCTTCTACTAATATAGTAAATGCACTCTAAATCATGACCGTACCTTGGAAATTGCTGTCAACGCATCAGCTTATGCCGGAGACCATAGCGGTTTCGGAAGATGGATACAACAAAGGTATAGTGCCGCTCGGGCCAAACCCCCTCACGAGACCTCAAGGGTAGGTGTTTACTAGCATGCATTTTACAACAAATTTCCTTCTTTGCTTGCGTTCCTTCCACCCTTCTAGGGCCACAGCATTTCCAGCAGCCAATGAGTGTCCTCCCGCACCAAGCGGGGAAGAGTAACAAAACTCGTGACGGTAGGCCTAGTGCTGTTATCATGCGGTCTAGCCATACTTTTCTTCTCAAGTCTCGTACACGAATCCCATGAAGTCCACACACAAATGCAACAGAGAAAAATTAGCAACTATCGTATCTTTCTCGTACAATTTTCGGTACTTGTGGTCCGTCATACAAATCTCCGGTGCAACGGGCCTCTACTCTCGGCATTTTCCCCCTCAGCAGGTATGGTATGGTGAGGCTCTCTACGTTTCGGCACCCCGATGCTTTAGCTGTTGCAAGAGCCGCCAAGCGGGCAGGGACGAGAGCCTTGTATATGAGTGCACAGTTTGATACCCGTACTACTCACACCACTCTCCAAAAAAAAACCCCAGTGTTCGACCGAGGCAATTAAAAATTGTGTTGGAAATAGCAGTTGATGGCCGCACTTGTTGCGGGATGTGCTTATACATGAAGGCGTCAGTAGCATATGTCTGTACCCCTGGAAGACGCGTAAGCCATGCAAACTTTTCTCATCCCTGTCTTTTCTTCCCTTCTGTTCTCTCTTGCGAGTGAACAACGTCCTGTACTTTACCTCTCTCCTCAAGTTCTTCCTCTCAGTCATCTTTAAGTAATCAATCATGGTCTTTCTCTTCACTTGAGTAAAACCTTCTATCTCCACTTGCGTGATTCTACTCCACTGCGTAAACCCTCACTACCGATCATTACCTCCATATCAATCATTTTTCAACAAATTGGATGTTTCAAATTAGGAGTGATATCCTGTGAACATGTGCTACCCCTCGTCTAGCAAGTCCCCCATTGCGACGCTTTTGTTTTTGTTTTCTTCAAGTTGGTCATCATTCGTTATAGATATACGTGGAGGAGTTGCTGTCCGCTGCGGTTTCGGCAGTGCACTTGATAGTGATACCATCTATGATATCTGGGTTGATCCGGCGCTGCACTGTTCAAGTACTCGTACAGCCCGATTTGGATGTCCCAGCAACACAATCCTAGACACTTCCCACTCATTCAAGTGAACGAACCATCAACCCACCTATAAAGGCAACTTCGCTCAGTTGTATACGATAAATAGCCAACGATAATTTAGGAAAGAGAGAGAGCCAACTGCAACTACCCTTCCTGCGGATTCATTTCAAAGCATAAATTTACCTACACACCCACCCACTCACCCGAGCGCACAATCACTAACAATCTACTCAGGAATACTCGAGGAATGCATCTTCGTAGCGGAAAGTAGGTTCCCCCCACTCTCCATCTATCACCCCCCTTACCCCCCCCCACCCCAATCCATGTTCTCAGCCTTAGGCTACATGGTGGATAGGATAGATGACTAAGGAACCTGACAGGAAAACAATCTTCACACCAGCTCCACCGCGAAAACGCTCGCCCGGTCGCCGGAAGGATTCTCCCCGGGCTGGGGAAATAACGGTAAATACGGGCAGGGCTACCGCCGCGCTTCGCCCTCCTCCCGAGCTGATAACTCCACCTTATACCCCGGTCACTACCACGAGACCAGACCTTGAAACCCGACCCGGCCCGCCCCCGAACGATTGGAGCGATTTGGAGGTTGTGTTCGATCACGGGCCCCAAACGGATAGTTGGGATGGCGCTGGGATGCTAGACATAGCATTAGGGCTGGGGCTGTCTGTGTGTGGTGCGGGAAGCGGAGGGAGAAGGAGGAGGGCAGTGTCTTGGAAATCGATATTACTCTTGTGGGGATCGGCGGTGATGGTGTTTGGCTTTTTGTATGTTAGGGAGAGTGGTGGGGTGGGGGAGAGAGTATGGGGTGGATATGAGGGCGCTTATGAAGGTTTGTATCTGTGCGAATGGGGTCTTCTGCTCTTACAACTTTTCCGCAATCGTGGTGAGATTTCCATGGGTGCGTAGAGGTGGTGTTTGGGTGACCAATTAATTGGCTTGTCCACTCCGGTTTTGTCTTGGCTGCTGGCGGCATCCCTTAGCATCCGAGCCCCGGGCTCCATTTGCTTTCCGATACAGCTCTGAGGTTGTCTTTTGTTTTGCTAAATCAGGAATTTTTTGTGACCGCAAAGTCGGGTATGATACCTAGAGTAAATGTGTAATACAGATAGGAATAAGAAAAGAGTTTAGAATGTCAAGGTGGAGATAGCCACGCAGGTTTCCCTCCCCCTAACTTAGCCCAGGGCCCTGTCCAATCATGCCGTAGCAAAACCGAGTAGGTCCGTAACATTATGCATTGCTAGACCTTCGATGATCTTGTCCAGATACGGCTGGGTTTCCTAATCATCTTCACCCGCTTGATTTATTAACCCAACCATAGCATGGGTGGTGGTGATAGCGGGGGACCTCAAACGTGAAGTCAAAGGTTTACGGATGCGTGTGGTCTCAATTCAAAGCCTCCATAATGTTCCCGGTTTGTAAATCATTGGATGGAAGTACTCTCTGCAACGCAAGTATTAGACCTTCTCCAGAGCCCCAATTTTCTTCATTAGGAGAAAATTTTAAGTTGGCCAAGACAGAGATGCCATCTCTTCAAGGATATAGCCCGGAGAGCTGGACCAGTCTGATCTCTACTTTTTTCCTTCCCTTAGAGCCAAGGTTTCCAAGATCCTCGAGCATACGATCCCATTTTCGGGTGGATGCTGTCTAAATGGAGAAGCCCCCGGACCACGTCGAGCTTAAAAACTTTCCCCCAAGAGACCCAAATGAGCCCTAGAGAAGCTCTACTTTTGTGTAAAGTGTCTTTCTTGGTCGATGGGAAATAGGTATCCGAATAGTGAAGGGACATTACAGCACCGGTCGCCGCTTTCGGCAATTAACGTCACTTATAGGGATGCCGCTTACGACCGGGATGCCACTCACCCATGGCAACAAGTGAAAAATTAATCATATCATATCTTTGATTATCTTGATGAATGATTATGAGACTAGCTTGAAATTTTATTTGTAAGTACTTTGGAATATGGAGAACTGGAATATGTAAACTGTATTTCATAATTATGAACTGTTCCTCTTGTGCAGAGTTTTTAATATTGTTTCTTTCAAACAAAACTGCTAGGGTTTCCCAGGATATAAAAATTGAAAAACATATAGGAAGTACCTTCATAAGTAGATTGAGAGATTAAATAAGTCTTATAAGCTCATGACCAGTAGTAGTTCTTTTTGTTTATTGCCAATCTTTCAATATTATGATATTTAGGAGGAACTAGTAGAATGTAAGTAAACTGCATCCAAATTAAGTATATTGAATAGGATAGCTTGTTACTGTGATAACCCGCAGCTGTAATACTTTGAAACCTACCTTATAATGACTATTTATATAAGTATATAATATACACTGAGCCTCTTGGACGACCTTTCCCCAAACCAATTTTCCTGGCGGCCGGATACCTGCCTGCGTATTGGAAATACTGGATTATGACAAATTGAGCCCATTCCCAAGACGACCGCAAACTCCAAGAAACAAGGCGGGATTCTAATTAAGTAACAGCTACTATGTTTCTGTGCCCACTTCTTGTGAGTGGCTGCCGGAATGGATGGTGGTGGCCCTCACTTGGTAAATAAGGAAAACTGTTAGGGATTCAGGAGGATGACCCGTGCGTTGTGGAACGTTTGTCTTCAGGGCATTCGGGAGCCCTTTTCCACGTCTCCCCCCAATCGTCGCCGGGTCAATTCTTCGGTGGGCACCACGAGCCATCGCAAATTGTCTATTCTGGCCGAAAAGAACACCTGCCCGGGCAGTCACCAAAGCGACCCCAGAAACAGATAACGCGGGCAACCGAAATATTAATATGGTGTTTCTCCGTGCACGGTATTCTCCAAACGCATGTAATGAAAGCCCGGCTGCGTGAGGACAGAAGCGGTAGCCAAGTCAACTCAAGAGATAAAATAGCTTTGGGTAGGAACCCGGCTTTCTCTGAACAAGCATCTAGATGACATAAATAAACGTCAGAACAACACAAGAGGAAGGATAACCCCGTTTGTGAAACTCCCTTGTTAGTAATGGGAGCAGCCAAGATTGCGATATTAAAAGAGTGAATTGCTGTATTCTCGCGAGTGATAAGTTGTGATGAGGGGACTAGAGCACCATTCAGGGGCTTTCATCTTTATTTTTGTTTTTGTTTCTCTATTTGTCTTTCGAGGAAAAGGAGGGTAATAGGGGGCCTGGGTATCGGGGTTGGGTTGGATAGCGTTGCGCTGCTAGAGTGATAGGAAGAACAAAAAAAGCGGGCAATACGCCAACGTGTGTAGCATGCCACTCTAGCTAAGCTACCGTATAGCTGAGCCAAAACCTTGCGCCTCTTTGGCAATGGGCGGGGGTTATACCGGTCTTATGAACGAGAGCTCTTGGCTAGTAGCGCAGTTGTGATTGGGTTCCCTCGGGTTCAGGCGGAAGGTGAAAGGCTCTCTGAGGGCGACATGTGGGCACACCGATCGGGGTTCTTGGGGAATTCTCTGTGATCTGGCCCATCGTGGTAACCGTTGTGCTTCCTGCTCCTGGGGGCGATTGCACTAATACCGTACTGTGCTCACCTCGGCATCCAAGCAGAGTGGGCATTGTGCTCTCATGTCCCGTTCATCGATAGATTTCGTCCCCGATAAGTTTAGCCTCTCTCCCCTGATGCTACCCGGTTAGCGATTTTGCAACAGTCAGATCGGCAGTGTGTCGGGAAATGGTTCCCCAAGGGCCCGTATCTCGTATCCATCAGGTAAATCCATGCTTGTTCGGAGGAAAGGGGGAACCATAGCACGGTTAGTGTAACAGAGTGAGTGGCCTATGGGGAAGGCCCCCTGTCGGATGGGGCAGGAGTGGTGCTCGAAGGGAGCCTGAGTAGCTCTCGCCAAGGGGGAAATACCGACGTTTGGGCGAAAGGACTGCGGTGTAGCGAGAGAGTAACCTCCCGTCATAACAAGAGCAAGCATTGATTGGACCAAAACGGCGAGAGAAGACGGACGACCAGAAATTCGTAATGTTGTATTTCGCTGTCATGGGCGAGGGTTTCATGATAAACAAACATTTACCGCCGAGAGAATCTTTCCTTCGGTATATAGCCATGTGTTCTTTTATAATATGCAGTTGCGCCCGCTATCCTGGATCTCGAGAGTCTGGATACGTCGCTGCCCCGTATGAACCTCTGCGAGTCCCAAATGCTTTACAACGAAACCCAACCTATTGCCCAGGATAACCCGGTGCACTCGGCAGGTTATTTCGATTTCGGCCATCAGTGGATTATATGGGGGGGTGATGAAAGGAGTAATAGAATGTCGACGAGCAGATCAGCATCGACTGCACCCTCTCACCAATCAGTGTCCTCCAGGCTAGAGACCTAGATGGCGGTTGTTTGATTGGAATTGGACCTGCCAGAGGGTGCGTGATATATCGCTGTATATCTTAAGATTCGGATGTCCGGGTGTCTTGAAATTCGGAAATCTGAAACCTGAGCGATACTGTGAGGTTCCAGCAGATATGGCCGCTCCCCAGGCTTCCCATGAAATACCTCTGGTGGAAACAGGTGCCGCAGCTGTGAATAGCCGTACGTATGTATAATACGAAGATGGTGTTGAGCAATACAGCTACAGCACATGCTACCAGTGCCATACCCTTGACACCTGTGGTGCCAAGCCAAGGATTTAGCCCTAAACCCTATGTATGTTTATACTCCATCTCTCATGCACTTAACCCCTTTCCACTCTCGCCAAGCCTCTCGATTCCACCTGTCATTCTCATTTTCCGACCTGTGAACATCCACCTTCATCCTCAGTCAACACTGCGTACTACAACCTAATACCATTGCGATGCGTTTGGCCACCTCCACCTTGGTATCAATCCTAGCTTCGGCCGTAACGGTTACTGCACACAACATCCAGCTGCATGCCCACAGTAGAGAATGCTTTCATGAGGCACTACACCGAGACGACCGGATGACCGTAACCTTTCAGGTCGGTGATCGGGAGTTTGGCGGAGCTGGAAATTTGGATATTGATTTCTGGGTGAGTTTGCCTCTTCCCACAGTTTGATCCGGAAGGAAAGGGGAAGCGGAGTATTGCCCCCCCTTTCCCATTTACTATGGCGGGTTCACGGGAGCGGTAGGGGCTAATCAAATCAATAGATTCAAGAACCCTCCGGTACTCTGAAAGTCAGCGAGCATGCTGTCTCGTCCGGTGACCATTCATTCGAGGCACAAGTTGACGGTAGATACACCTACTGCTTCTCCAATGAGAACAGCAGCGTCGGTTCAAAGGAGGTTTCATTCAACGTTCACGGCATCGTCTACGTACCGGAGGAGCCCGAATCTTCGGATCCCCTAGAACGCGAGGTTAGGAGTTTGGGAGAGATGTTGAACCAGGTCAAGGATGAGCAGGAATATATTGTTGTCCGGGAACGCGTGCACAGAAACACTGCTGAAAGCACGAACTCGAGAGTTAAGTGGTGGAGTATTTTCCAGTTGGGTGTTGTTGGCGCAAATGGTGTTTTCCAAGTGTGGTACCTGAAGCGGTTTTTCGAGGTAGGCTCTGGTGCTTTCATGTAATAGCTTGGGGGGAAGAATCATGCTGATGATTTAGTAGGTCAAAAGAGTTGTTTAAGCATTTGTTTCTCCACTCCCTGGGTCTTTAGATTGCTTGGAAGGCTGGAGATTATTGTCCTTATTATTTTTATTATTATTATTATTCTGTAAACGAAATAATGGGATAGTTGGAGCTCAGGGTGACATCTAGCTTGAAATTGAATTGAATCTCAAAAAGTTGTGTTCCCACCTCCGATTGGACCGATTAATTTAATAGCCTATCCATCCATTGGGCTTTCTTGGTTCTTGTTGTGGACACATTTGCTAGAACTTTTCCCTTGGGCCTCGATGCAGTGTCTTGGCGCAGAATGCCCCCCGTAAGTCCCCAGCACGATTATCGGGGTACTATACGAGTACAATGTCTCGTAATCAGATGGTGGGGTTATTTGGCTCCGAGCCCCGCGCCTTTTTCCCAATGTTCTTCCAGCGCTCACATCTGCCCATCTCAAACTAGCATTCCTCTTCCAAATTCCCAACAAACACCCCTGGAAATTAATCCACAGAATGACCGACATAGATCCTGTCCCTGCCCTCCGCGAAGTCCTCGGTGATGACAAACAGGAAAATCTTGCACTTCGATTCCGTGCCCTCTTCTCACTCAAGCACCTCGCCCGCAACGGTAGCAAACCAGCAATAGAGGCAATCGCAAACGCCTTCAGCAGCAAATCCGGTTCTCTCTCCCTTCTTCGCTTCTATCCTTACTCTCCTTTAATGCTGACTTTCCAAACCCCCAAGCCCTCCTTAAACATGAGCTCGCCTACTGCCTCGGCCAATCCGCAAACTCTTACGCTGCACAATTTCTACAATCTATCTTAATCACCAAATCCGAAGACTCAATGGTCCGGCATGAAGCGGCTGAAGCCCTGGGAGCCCTTGCACATGCCGAGTCACTCCCACTTCTGAAAGAATACTTAAATGATTCGGAGGAGGTGGTACGGCAGACCTGCGAACTTGCAATCGCGAGGATTAACTGGGCAGCGTCGCAGAAGGACTTGGAGGAGAATAGTAAGAACGGTAGCGATCGGGAAGGGGGTTTATTCGTGGGCGTAGTCGATCCAGCGCCACCGGCCAAGGGTGGGAACGTGGAGGAATTGCGAAGGATATTGAATGACCAGGGGACGAACCTTTTCGAGCGATACAGAGCGATGTTCCGGCTGAGGGATATTGGGACCAATGAGGCTATTGATGCACTGGCGAGCGGATTTGAGGATCCGAGTGCTCTGTTTAGACACGAGGTTTGTCACTTCTACTCCGCTCTTCTTATCTGTTCTCTTATGATCAGTCAAATTGATGTCGTGTAATAGATCGCATTCGTTTTCGGCCAATTATCGGATCCGCATAGCATCCCAGCCCTGATCAAAGTTGCTGGGGATAAAGGAGAAGCCCCAATGGTCAGGCATGAAGCTGTCGAAGCGCTAGGGAGTATAGCGGACGAAGGTGTCGATTCACTATTAAAGGAGTATGCTAAAGACGGTGAAGAAGTAGTCAGGGATAGTGCCGTGGTAGCATTAGATATGGCAGAGTTTGAAAGGAGTGGCGGCTTCGAATATGCACTCATCCCAGGTGCTGCGTAAAATATAATCTGGCATATGAAAGTGCCCGGTTTTCCTTTTTTTTTTTTTTGGTGCCCGGGTTATGGAATGATAGAAAAAAGAAAAAAAAGTTGGGGTCAATAGATTGTTTAGTTACTTTATACTATTCTGGCGTTTATGGATATCCTGTTAGAGTCGGGACACCGGTACGGTCACCAGTCACGCATAAGTCATGTTAATTCGAAGCTGGCGTGTAGGGATATCATAGTGTAAATGGCTAATAACATTTATAATTTTTCACTATCACTTCCCCAGTTCCCCACAACTTATACGAGCGGAATACCCATACAGGACACATGTGTCCGCAAAGCTCCCATACCCTTCCAAGTACTACAAGACCTTGGATATGCGTCGCCATCTCTCTCCTTCCACTATTCTGTAAAACAGATTGTGATGAAGGTATTCAATGCCACTAGAGGGATATCAGAAAGTAGTTATCTAATCGGCTCTTGTTGTCCCGCGGTCAATATGTGTTGCTCTCGGGGCACAAGGGGGTTCGAGAACTTTGCGGGAGTGGCCGTACATCCCAAGTAACAAGGGATAGTTTACAATGCTAATCCCACGACTCAAGCTCATAAGCAGGCCATTGCGCGATGGGTAAAAGTGAATAATGGCCGGGAGATGTGGATATCCTATTCCTTCTTATCCAGGGCCAACCTAACTAGCTATAGGATGCGAAACCTATTCTATAGATAGATACCCATGTGTAGCGACAGAGAACTCTCCGTACCTATCCCAAACGTTCCCGCACACTTCGTGACGGTAGAGATATTCAAGGACCCATCCGCCTACCAGGCATAAAGAACAAAAAAACAAGTTTAACAAGGAGGGCCGTAGGTGCGCTGCCGATCCTCCCACAAACTCCACCCATTTCTTCCGGTCCTCCTATCTTTTCTGGTCTCCCGGTCTTTGTTGATTTCTCCGCTCGTGATCCTGATCGGGACAGTGCATCTCGTCAATCTAATATGTACCGTATTAACTCGAGTAAGAGAACAACACACTAGTAGGTTAAATTAAGGTGAAACCAAGGCACACAAGTGTCACAATACAATATGAGGTCAGTGCAGTATCAAAAAAATGGCCCACGGCATAAGAAGGAATTAGGGACAAAAAAATAAAAAATAAAAAATCTACTCTAACACTTCCAAATCTGCCCACAATGGTCCGGCATCATAAGAAGTAAAATTGTTCTCATCTTCCTGTAGAGGTAATAATTCCTCCCTATCAGAATCAGCATCTAATATTGGTTGCTCCAATCCTCCAATACTCCAGTCCTTTAAGTCCTCCACTAACCTCTCTATATCAATACTCTTTAAGGACAGTTCAGTGTCACAATATCTATCGATAGGTAAGGAAAGACCAGCAGTGCAAAAAGATTATGTGATAACTTCTTTTTAACTAATGCAAAACCATTTCCAGGCTTCCCCAACTATCCAAGTAATTATTACATGTCATTGTCCTACTTTTCTTTCTCCTGGCCTTTCTTTTATGTCCATTTTCTCTAATTCAATTTCCTTTTGTTCAATTATTTTCTTTTAATATGTAGTATTGTATTAATAATTAATAAAATTAATTTTAATAATAAAAAAAGGAAATACCTTTAAAATATCTTTAAAAGAATAGTTTATTGACATATCTAATGGTTGTACAATACTTGTACATCTAGCAGGTATAATAGATATAGTAATATCATATGCCTTGAGTGCATCCAAAAATATTATCTGTTTTATGACTACTAAAGAGATCCAGAGTGAGTAATACTGGTTTTCCATTCAATGCAGGTACTAGTTGTTTCTCAATCCATTCCTCCATATTTACTGAATTGGTATAGGCTGTAGGATTAAACTTTACTCTCACTCGGGAGTCATAAAGCTATAATTCTCATAAAATACTAGTTCTAATACCTTTTCCTCTAAAAGAAATAAGTGGTTGGACATGCATTACAGCATCTGCAAAAACAGTAAGCTGAAGAGTAGCTTGTTTCTTATTCCAACCACTTGTAGCTTCCTTAACCCAAACTGTTTTTAAGCCTAAGGACTTATATGTCTATTCTAAAAGAAACTCAAATGGCAGAGGAGTTTGATTTATATTGCAAATTGCTACAAGATTGTATTTCCCTACCTCTACCGTGACTATTAAGTCTCAGAGCCCTCTCTCATTGTCAAGATATAATTGAGAATTACACTGATTGTACTCAGGCTGTACTTATAGTAATCTTGACTTATATGAGTCTGCTAGTACCTTACTTGCCTTATTGGTACTCACTCTAAGTGAAATATTATACCATCTTAGAAAACCTATTTAATTTATTAATATTTTGTTTATTAGTATTATATACATACTCGAGTGTAAAATAAGATATAATAGATAATGAATAAAAACAATTTTTTTTTTTTTTTTTACAAGATTCAATACTGATTATATGAGAACTTAATTTAGGCAAAAGTAAATTAGAGAATAGAGAGAGATTTACCATTAAACCAGCCATCAGAGAAGCAGAATACTTTACCAAGATAGTACTTTAATATTAGTAACTTTGATGCTATTCAAAACCATCCATGGCAGACAATTTTTCCCATATTCCTCTACTCTAAAAAGCCTTTGTAAAGTGGTCTCTCTATTTTTGGCCACTTGTATTGTACGGTCTGATTCTGATATTGAGTTGAAAGGAATTTGAGGAGGATATTTTCCTGCTTCTTCTATTAGGCAATATTAGAAGCAGGAATTTTAAACTGGTAGGCTGTTTCAGTAGCTGTAACATGATGTATAAGGGTCGGCCCAATTGATACTATCATATGGAGAAGGTAAGAGAGAACCCACAGCTTGTATTGAGCAGTATAATGTCTTTTTGTTGCTGATACTACATGAGGAAAGGTAAGTAGTCTTAGTACAATTATAATTTATTTAGGTCCTGGGTGCTTTTTCTTTTGTAGACCATAAAAGGTCTCTGAATCAACAGATATAACAAGATCATAAGAGGAAGCCATGTTTCTTAACCACTTTACTATTCTGTTAACTATATACTTCTTCTATATAGTATCAATTTATCCTCTTAGTTATGTTAATTATCATACTTGAAATTGAACTTATATGACCTCAGCCCCAAATTCTATCACTTTTAGTAAGGTTCAACTTGCATAATCCCTGCTATACTCTAAATTAATCTACTAGTATGTTATTCTCTTACTCAAGTTAATATGGTATAGTTCCAGAAGGCTATTCACTAAACCAGTTTTCATTAAAAGTATAACAATTTTCTTCTGCCATGGTAACTATACTAATACCTCTGAAATATGCTATATACTCTTCCTTATTAAATCTAAAACCCTAATCTTTGAATTCATAAAATCTTACTTAAATTCAAGTTCTGAAACTACTTATTCATTCAAGTAGGTTATTGATATTATAATAACAAGGTATCATTCTAGTATGATATCTGAGTCAGACTACTCTACATGAATTGCAGATTCTGCTATATGTCAATATAATGAATATCTTATATATATATGTTGCTTGAAGTTATTTGAACTACTAGTATAAGCAATATAATTTCTGTATGTATCCATGATATGGAGAGTTCTCTAGTAGTACTTCCATATAAGTATATTTAGTATTTGGGCTAATGTCACAGGTATGGTCCAAAGTAGAGAGAAAAATATATACTTACAATCTCTTTTTGTATGTACCCTTGCATACCTTTAAAAGTATTTAATAAAATTTAAATCAGAATGAAACACAGGATAAAATATTATCTCATATCCCACTTTTGTCAACTTAAAGGTTTCCTGTAATTCACATTTCTATACTTAAAAGTCTGCCTGAATTACATGAACTACTACAAAAGTAAGTGCATATGCTCAGCTCCAATACAACAACCATCCTACTATAGCAATCCTCTATGTAGTAATCAAATACCATGAAATAAAGATGGAAAGAGGTAAGAGAGTATAAAATTAGGATGTATACTAGTAGAGGTTATCCAGTACCAGGCTGAGTGTTATTCATATTGTATGATAGCTGACTATATAATAACCTCAGCATCAGTAGTGGACAAAATCATTTGTAGAGAAAAAGCGATAAGAACAGTAAAAAATGGTATCCATTTAGGAAGACCCTATAAAATTGGCTCTAGATTGCTTAAAAGGCTAAATAGAACTACTAAGAGTAGCTCTTAAGTATCTTTAGTTAAAATCACAAATGAGTCTTAGCTAAAATATTATTTAAAAACCATTCAAAAGACTTTTGACAAATTGGACTTCCACCTATAAATTTCATATCACAAACCTATTTTGAATATAAGAGGGTAAGCAGAAGAGGTTGATATAATATGAGTAAAGATAGCATTGGACAATAGAGAACTAGTACTAGAAGTTCTATTCTGATAAGACAAAGATTAGGATTGAAGTAAATGAAGACTATAAGAGGGTCTGGTGGAAGCCAGAAACTGAGTATCAAGATCACTACCTTCAGGCAACCTGCAAAAAGGAAAAGGTATTTATAATATTCTGAGCTACTATAAGCTATAGCTTGTGGAGTCAACTTATTCATATTCACCAGAAACTTTTCCAGAAGAGTATCAATATCCAAATGACTATAGTGAGATAGATTCTGAGCAATACTATGAAGAGGTCTTGAGGCCAGGATTTCTTCCTTTATAGAAAGAGGCCAGAGCTTAGGATCTGCTGAAGGGTTCTTACTAGTTGAGAATAGTTCTAAGATTCACATTTTTGTATATAGTTATCAGTTTAAGTTAAGTAATAGTATCATATACTCAGACTGGCCTGGCTATAGCCCTCATTTGAACTCCATTCAGAATGCCTGGTTGATTCTAATATGCTAGCCAAAAATTTAATTCTGAACACCTTGGTGACAACTTAGAGGTATTTCTAGACTGGTGTATACAGTACAGGAAGAATAAAATATAATTGAGTGAGAAAAAATAGATAGGTTTATTGAGTCCATGCCAATCTAAGAACCTCAGATAATCCATTATCACAGAGATTATTCTGGATAGTAAATTTTTTTTATTTTACTTTATTTCATATCTCTTGCTTTAGATCAGAGTAGGCTATTAGTTTTTATATAAAGTTTTATTTTCATAATAGTAACAGTCTTTTTGAGGGAGTGCCAAGACTTGTATGCACTCACTTTTTCAGTGGCACTTGTACTAATAGTACTATAGTTGATGTAATCCAAAATGTATACTAGGATTTTACCTATTTTTACTCTATTATAACAATAACAA